CTCTTTCTGTTCTACCCTGGGGCCTGAGAAATCGATAGATAATTTGCACAGGGCAATCCTTGTTCCTTTGAGAACTGCCCCACTTGAGACAGTGGATGAAGGTATTGTAGCCATTTTTAAATTGCCTAATGTACTCTAAGAGTGTAGAGAACTGAGGAGGGCTTCTGTCCTAGTGGCCACTGGAGAGTCTCTCAGGCCTCAGAGAGATGGGATGGTAACAACGGTTAAAACCAATGGTGGTTTTAGAGAAACATGATCATTGACCACGCTGGAGCAATATCATGTACATTCTAATGTCAAATAGACCAAGCAGGAAATAATACTGGGTTGCCAAGAAAGTCATGATGTATTTTTCTATGTCTGAACGACCTAATAGTTTCTGTAGATTACTGTTTCCCAGAGGGAGTTTTAAAGCAAAAGCAGGCATCCCTAATCTGTGCACTTTAAGGTAACATTCACTTGGTTTCTTTCTGTTGTTTGGCAGATGTTTAAGTCAATATTCTTTCATTGTTAGGTTTGGTTTAACCAGCAACATTTGAGAAATAATCTTGATCAGATTTGAATTTAATGCTAAAAATAGTACAATAAGAGACAATATCCACAGAAATGAATCAACAGTTTTTAAAGAGAGTATAATTTTACGGAGAGGAACAGAAATGAAAGCTCCCTTCTGGAGAAGGGAGGCCCTGAGTCTTGGAGGACATCATTTGTTCAGTTCCCTGTGCCATACATTCTACTAGGAGCAGGGACAGAAAAAGATTTAAGATATGAAGGTCATGGCTATCACAGAACTAAAGCATGTCATTGGAATAGTTTGAAGAGTGGCCTTCTTAGAAAAGAACAAGAGGCAGTGAAGTCATATAACACAGTAATGTTAGTCCAAGACTCAGGAAAGACTTCCCACTGGAAGTGATGCCAAGACTGAAGTCTGAGGAATGACTAGAATGGGAGCATCTGCACAGGTGTATTTGGGTAGTACACAATGCCTTGGTGGAGTGGTTGCAGGATTCCCCCTCCTGCAGATACGAAAAATCCCTGAATGCTCAAGTTCCCCATATTAAAATGGAGAAATATTTGCATCTAACCTATGGACATCCATAAACTTTAAACCATTTCTAAATTACCTATAATATCTAATATGAGGTAAATACTATGGAAAGAGCTGTTATACTGTGTGATTTTTAAAATTATATTATTTTGTATTGTCATGTTATATTTTTTCTTTTTTTTTTAAATATGTTTTTATCTCTAGATTGGCAGGTGGTATGGTAGTCAGGGTGCAGGCTTCCCACATGGCTGACTGTGGTTTGAGTCCCAGACCTGGGGGCTTGCTTTCTCATTTTCCCTCTCCCTCTCTTTCTGGTCAAGTTAAGAATAATAATAACAAATAGAATTAAATAAATAATTTTTTTAAGAGAGATCTTTTTGCAGTAGGACATATGTGATCACCACAGAGACAGAAAGGCAGAAAGCGAGAAATAACTCCCTAGGGGGGATGGCCATGCCTAAATCCCTTCTCCTCCATTCTCCTCTTGGGATTTTTGGCACACATACACACACACCCGGTGTGAGTTTCAAACCTCTGGGATTGGGACTCAAACCACAGTCGACATGTGGGAGTCCAGTGATGTAATCATTACACCACTTACTGCCCCTCTATTCTTTAAAAAAATATTTTTGATCTGTAGTAGATTGAATATAAGAATATAGAACCCACAATTCAGAGGGTCAACTATATGTTCAAGGAGAGAGAGGAAAGAACTGGAAGAGAGAGAGAGTGTAGTATCTTCAAGGAATTAAAGTAATTTCAGTATTGCATGAAGTCAAGGTTCAAGGGAAAGACAATTTTGGACAGATAGACAGGGCTCAGGCTGTGGAAGACTTTATAAACCGCATTTAGGAGACTGGACTTTATTTTAGAAGCAATGAAAAGCCACTGAAAGATATTTGGCAGAAGAATGATGAAATAGCATTTTCATTTTAGATCTTTCTAACTGCAATGTAGACTGAAAAGAAGCAGTACTGGGAATAGGAAGATAATTTAAGATACTCTGTAGTACTTCAGGTAAGAAGAGATGGGCTGAGATATGTCTGGAGAGATAAAAATAAGCAACAGCATCTCAGAGGTACTGGGGATTAAAGTCCATAAGAAAGTATATGGGTGGCTATGAGATATCAGGGATAGGGAATCATGGACATGTTAGAAATTGTTTTAGGGAACTTGGCAATAGGATGTATTCTTTGTAGTCAGGGTAGATAGATCTGGCAAGTAATGCAAAAAGATAGGGACCAGCAGTTGGCGCAATGGCTATGTCACTGGACTCCCATGTAGTCAACCGTGGTTTGAGTACTGGACCCGGTGGCTTAAACTACGCCGGGGTGTGTGCGTGCATGCCCAAGATCCCGAGAGGAGAATGGAAGAGAAGGGATTGCAGCATGGCCATCCCCCACTGGGGGGTGATTTCTCACTTTCTGTCTCTCTGTTTCTCTCTGTCTTTCTGGTAAGCACGTACGCCCTATAGCAAAAATCTCTCCCCAGAAGAAAGAAAGAAAGAAAGAAAGAAAGAAAGAAAGAAAGAAGGGAGGGAGGGAGGGAGGGAGGGAGGAAGGAAGGAAGGAAGGAAGGAAGGAAGGAAGGAAGGAAGGAAGGAAAGAAGGACGGAAGAAAGAAGATACAAGCTGTTTGGCTTAGACATGGCAAGTCCTAAGGGTCTTTGACTTTTAAAGAAACATATTTGGTTACAGTTAAAGGTACAGACCTCTAACTTGAGGGAGAAGTTCCAGCCAGAGATGTTAATTTGGGGAATATACAGACATTAGTCATATCCTTGGAAATGGACAAGAAAAGAAGAGAGTCCAGGAAAGAACCATGAGAAGCACCAATATTTAAGGGATTTATAAAGAAATAGAAGTATAGTAAGGAGCCCAGGATGGAACTATCAAGAGGCAAAAGGAAAACCAAGACAATTCCAGACCAAACAAGAGGTAGTATGTAGGGATAATGGAAAGGACAGTAAGTTCAAGGTGGGAGAATGTTAGGATTGACTTGGGAAAGAAGCTACCCTAAAGCTAGTTTTAGTTTCAACCCTGAATTAGGAACTTAGTCTAGAGACTCCAGTCCAACCACCTCCCAGAAGTTAAATAAGTAGGTACCCATCCTACCTCCACCAATAGTTCACCATTCCCAGAGTGCAGTTTCTCATATTTCTTTCTTAAACTAGATGGTAAATACCTGAACATAAATTAAATCTTTTTGAATGCCTTTCTCTTTGTCTGACATAACACAAGATAAATCTAAAATGGATGTCCAAAACACATTGTTGATTGGAAGAAAGTCATGTTATTGAATGGCAGGTGTGGTTATATTTCCATTTATGTAAAACTATAGATTTATATCCATATATGTGTATGTGCATAGAAAGGTCTAGAGAGAGATTTACTAATTCTTTCAACAATGATTATCTTTAGTTAGTTGGATTTAAGGTCATTTTTAAAAAATAATTAACTTTATTTATTATGATTATTATTTTCCAATTTGATCAGAGAAAGAGAAAGAGAGAAGGAGAGTGAGAAAGCAAGCCACCAGGTCCAGGACTTGAACCGTGGTTGGCCATGTGGGAGTCCAGTGCCTTTAACCACCATGCCATCTGCTGGCCCCGGATTTAAGGTCATTTTTAAAGATTATTTTTACATGAGTGAGAGAAAAAAAAGAGTTAAACAGCACTTCCAATAGGGTTTTTGTGTTTTGTTAAAGAATTATTTTATTTAACTTTATTTATTATTATTGTTATTTTCCAGTTTGATCAGACAGAGAGCAGGAGAGAGAGAGGGAAAGTGAGAAAGCAAGCCACCAGGTTCAGGACTTGAACCACGGTCGGTCATATGGGAGTACAGTGCCTTTAACCACCACGCCACCTGCTGGCCCCCTCCAATAGGATTTTGACACCACAATCCAACTTCAGGTTCAGTCAGCCCCAGATCACAGACACACACATGCCTGTCATACTCAGGGAGGTCTCTAGATGTGAGCACTATACCTTCCCATAGGAATCAGCCTCACAAAGCACTGGGTTTTACTGCTACACTACTATCCAGCCCCTGAGGTCATTTCTATTTTCTTCTTTGTATTCTTCTATTTTGTCTGAAATTTTCAATTTGCATACATAACAGTTTTATATAATTAATCAAAATAAAAATCACAAAAGCATAGTATAGAATCTTCTACCCTATGTAATCATTTAATACCCTGAGGCAGATATACTGCAGTCCTGGTTAGGTTATATGAGGTGAAGTCAGGCAAGCAGAACTCCACCCATACATTGGTCTTGCTAGACAAACCAGACTAAGAGCAACCATAAATGCTGCCTCGACAGCAGCCTTCTCACTCTGAAAGGCAGAAAGAGAGAAGAACCAATGGAGATAAAAACCAAGCCCATTCCTTTAAGAAAGAAAAGTCTCCCTGCACCTAGACCCCTGTAACCTATTCTCCATTTTCTCCACAATAAAGCAACATTCCAAAAGTAAGTGGGCTTGTACTATCTTATTTCTAGCCTACTGTGTCTTTCCTAGCAATCAACTACTTAGGAACAGGCAGGACTGTGTTCAACTCTACACTGATCGTGCAGCATAATTTTGGACAATTTACACCTACAGTTCTTATTCTCTTATATTGTAAAATCAAAATGATTTTTAAAACCTGCCATATACTGTGGTCTAAGGATTAAATGAGGTCAAGCATGCAAAACACTTCAGAGTAGCATCAAGCATATAGTAAGTGCTCAATAACTGGAGGTTGTATTGTAGTTCATAGAACAAGAATGTATAGTACAGCAAGGTTCAGATTTGAAATTCTCCCAGCACTGTGACCATTTGCCATCCCAGAGACCAGCCTTCAACCTGCTGCCATCTTGAATTACCATTCCCAGAGTTTCTGAACCTCCAAACCCAGTGTCTCACTCCTCTGATCTCCACCATCCGAGTGCCCTCTATTTAACACTCACCTATTCAGCATATTAGACTGGTAGATTCTCTTCTCGTGGGTGTTGTAGCAACTGCTCTTGGGCTCAGGGATGAAGCTGTGTTCAGACAGCATGTCGGAAGCAGCAGTGGTGATTATGGCAATTCCATCTCTCACTCTGGCAGGGAGGCCATAGTCCCATTCATCATATGATACAGAGATGAGCCCAGTGGGGAACTCTGAGGGTACTGTGTCTGTGTCCCCTGCCACCAGACTAGGTACAATCCACGTGTAGCCGTAGCCTGTCAGCCCTACTGAGTTAGCCACTTCAAAGATGTAAGTGGCTTCTTCCTTAGTACAGTAAAGAAGAATTATGGGGCTTTGAAGTTTCTTGAGCTGATTCTGGATTTTAGAATCGCCATCATCCAGGGACATGTCCAGTAGGAGGACTTCCTCTAGCTCCCAGCCAACGAAGCTATTCTCAATGGTGCTGCGGATCTTGTTTACAAAGTCCTGGTAGCCAGGGAAGTAGGTGGTGACAATAGAAAAGATATACCAGTCATATTCTTCCATGATGTTGAGCATTACGGAAGCTTGCTGTTCAATTGATGGGCCAAACTGGAAGAACATAGAGGATTCATCCTAGAATAGTAAAAGTATAAAATATAAAAAAGAAGAAAAAAGAAAGAGAAAGAAAAAAAAAATCAAACCGAAGATGGTAATGGAGATTTTGAACCAACTGGATACAACGGTTTACATACATTATTCATTTTTTAAAATAAGCCTTTTAAATATTTTATTTTCAATAAAATATTTTAATTTGAATTTCAAATATTTGTAATGCCTATTTTCATAAAACTATTTCCTAAACTTTAGTGAAAATCAGCAACATAGATCTATATTCTCCTTTGTCTAAAATCCTTGGGATCTTCCAGAACCTAGGGCAGCTCCCCCAAACAAGTATGTTTATATCTCTATGACAAGACATACAAAAGTTTACATAAAGTGGAATAAATACTCCAAATGACCGTATGTCAGTTTATGTCAGGTTTTGCCATCAAATGATTTAAGAAAAACACATACAGGCTCATGCAAACAGATACACATGCACATATGCTTTTCATTTTTATGTTTTAAGGAATTATTCATTTAATTTTATATATTATTATAATTTTTAATTTGCTATAGGACATGTATGCTCACCAGAGAGAGACAGAAAGAGCAAAATCAAGCCACCAGAGACAGAGAGAGAGAGAAATCAAGCCACTAGGTCTGGAACTCGAACCACAGTCAGCCATGTGAGAGTCCAGCACCTTAACCACCATGCTACCTGCAGTCCCTTCCACTTTTAAAGGCTTTATGTTTCTCAACTGTGGATGTTTATCACTCAGTCCCATTGTAAATAATCTTAAATCCCATCAATCTATACTTAACCATATCTGTGGATGTGGTATAGGCTTGTAGGCCCAGTAAGTGGCTTGTACTCAGGTATAGATATTAGTGAGAAACATGTGGATTACAAGATTGGATTGGTATATTTTCTGTAAACATTAATAGCACATCTAGTTTGTTTTCTAACTTCTGCTAGGTAAGGCTCAAACAGGATAACCAGGCTACAATTTAAATTAAATTAAAATGACAGGTATTCAAGTTCATATATGATTAAACTTTATCTTAGAGCAGCATAGAGAAGACTATTCATTTCCTTACATACGTAATGCCATAGATCTCAGTGTGACCTGTGTGTTACACACACGCACCTCTGTCAATGTGAGCTTCTTTTGTTTTCTCCTTCCTTTCAAGGGAGAAGCCATTTTAAATTCTCCCATTTAAGCTGTATTTCACCTGCCCTTCTGAGATGTCAGGCCCTGCATTTTATCTCCACCGTATAGCTAGAAAAATCTCAAGACACAAAATGAACACCCTCTCAACCCTCTCCCTCTCTCTCAGTCCATTTTTGCCTGACTTCCTCATGGGTAATAGTATCTTTTTTCTTGGTCTGTGCCCCCTATCTTCTGTCTGATGGCTCATCTCCATTTTAAAATAATCCAGGCTAACAAAATTGTGTTTTTCTCTCCAAGGGGCAGTTCCTTTTTAGTCCCCAACTGGAGCTTCAAAGTGCAGTTACAAGAGACTAAGAAACTAGGCTTTTAGACAAAATTATATAGTGATTTCTTAGTTCAGGAACACATTGTTGTACAGCTGAGAAATTGCTGAGTACTTCTTGGGCACCCACTATTGAAAAAAATACAAGCTGGGAAATAGTTGGTGTCCAGAGCCCCTGATTCGGTGATGAGAGCTGCCAACCCTTCAGCTCTGCCAGAGCTACATTTGCTTCTCATTGTTCGAACTCTTCACATTTCCTGCGGCTTATCTAGAATGAAACAGTAGCTGTTTGGTCATTTTGGGCTGATTCGTCCTGCTAAGGGTCCAATGGTGTTTGCCATGGCTTCCTCCTCCTAGGTTGAAGTCCTAACCCCTTACAGAAAGGTATTAGGAGATGGGGCCTCTTAGGGAATGACTAGATTATAAGGGTAAATCCATTGTGAATAAGATTAATGTCCTCATAAAAAAGAGGCCCCAGACAGCAGCCTCGCCGTTCATCTTGTGAGGACACAAAAGACTCTCCCAATGAAGCAGAGTGTGAGTGTTGACCAGGCACCAAACCTGCTGGCGCCTTGACCTTGGACTTCCTAGCCTCCAGGAATCTGAGAAATCAATTGTTATTTATAAGTCCCGCCGTTTATGGTATTTTGTTGTAACAACCCAGAATAAGACAAGCAGGAATCCAATGTAGCTTAATTATTTCAAAACTTGTCAGGTGCCTTCAGAGAACTACAACGGAAAAGGAAGGCCAAGTGACAGAACGAATCATCTAGAATAGTTATCACTTTAAAGACTATCCATTTGTTTTTCTTGTTAACTTCCAGCTATCGAAAAATTTTAAGTCCAGTGGTTATAGCAAAATGAAAGAGCTTTCACATATACTTAACAATATACAAGCCTGGAATGATAGGCATCCAGATTGTAAACAAAGGAAGTCTACCTACTATGTGATAAATGAACAGATCCTATCATGAGGAGGTTTTTAAGTCCACACAGATTTCCATGTACAGTGAAAACACGCTGGCTCAAATACACAGCAAGAGAAAGCCTTGAAAGAAAACCCATGGGTGTCCAAGGCAAACGAGCTTGTGCTAATGAGACTGAATTCAAAAGAAAATCAATCTATTAAATACCAACCTGATGCTTCCCTCCCTCAGTCTTTTCTTAATACTCTCCCACAGTTATAAATGAACCTATAAAGATATAGCCAGCTACTTTATGAATATGATCAGAGTAAGAAAAGAGAAAAATTAATAGGGTTCATCACACCCTCAGCACATTTAATTCTACTGTTCTTTCCAACTTCGCTACTCTTTATTCTTCTTTTTCTTTTGCTTTTTTTCTATAGAGAACATGCACTTGCCAGAGAGAGAAAGAGAGAGGGAAAGTGAGAAATCACTCTCCCCTAGTCCCCTCTTTTTCATTCTCCCCTTGGGATTTTGGGTACATTTGTACATGCACAGGGCATGATTTTCAAGCCATCAGGTCTGAGACTCGAACCACAGTCAGCCATTTAAGAGTCCAATGTTTTTAGCCACTGTGCCACATGCTGGCCCCAACTTCACCCTTTTTCTGCCTCCTCTGCCCCATCGATGCCCACTCAACCATTTTATCTTGCCAATCCTTCATTAGATAAGGATCCCCTATATGACCATTTTATCTGCCACCAAAAGGAGGTTAATGAAGTTAAACAGAAATCAAAAGAGAATTATAGCTTGGGCAAGTGTTTCCTGGAATAATGAGTAGTCCAGTGTTATTAATTTAGTTGACACACCAATCTGGTGTACAGTGATGGGGAATGAAACAACTCTTTTTCAACAAAGCTTAGGGCTAGCTATAAGTTTCCAATGGTGACAGGCTTTGCAAATTATGGTCCAAGACACAAATCAAAGAGCAATCTTCATGTGTGCATGGAGTGGAAAGGACTGGTGGCCACACATTCATCTTTGCAGGCACCCAACATGCACTGTGGTCACCACAAGTGATCAAGGATGAAGGAAAGAGAGATAATTCTGTTTGCAGCTAACTATGCTTCCCCACTTACATTTTTATTATCCCATGTCCTTGGAACAGTCCCTTCTTTCTAGTGAAGATTCCCAATGAGATTTATTGCCTGAATATACTTATTCAACTTGCTTTGAGAGCATCTTTAGGACACGGTTGTATAAAGGGCCACCTTAACTGAGATAAGCAATTAGCATAGGGAAAATAGAATTGTATGTTAGGCTCTATTAGTCTAGAACCTTGATGTTGAACCTCCATCACTTCGATGTTCATGGTGTTCATTTGCTAGTAAGAAACAAAAAGAGGTACTTTTTTAATCCTATTATCTGCCTCAGGAAATAATTGCCTAAAGAATTAGTGATACATGAGATTCCTCTTTGGCATCGTACAGCTCCCCTACGGATCTACTTCAGAAATAAAGCATTTAGTGAGTGCTCCAGCTACTGATGGTGCCCCTGGGCTTTGGTTTGGCCTCCTTTTGGGGACTGTCTCAGGTAAAGAGAGGTACTTGCACAAAGTCATTCCCCCTTTCTGGGGGCGATAAATAACTGGTGGTCAAGGGATATAAGACCTGGGCTTCTTGCCCTAACTTTGGAAAACTCAGTACAGTCGATCTATCTTCGATTGCCCAGATTGGCTGGAGCTTCCATTAAAACTGTATCCCACCTATACTTCTCCTTCTGCCCAGTCCTGACCAGTCTTCAATTTCATGACATTGAACACAAAAATACTTCCTAATAAACCACCTACACACCATCCTTAACCTCACAGTCTGCTTTTCTGAGAACCTGATGTTCCCCACTTTCATTTTTTCCATATGGAAAAAAAATGACTTTAAAAAGAACATAATATCTATTTTCAGATACTAAAAGCCTTTGCCTATTAGCTATAGAAGAAAGAACTGGGGCAATAAGTAAAAGTATTAAAAGGCATTATTGGGCCAGCCAGTGGCACGGTGGTTGGGGCAGCTAGATCCCACATAGCCAACTACGCAGTTCAAGCCCTGACCCAGTGGCTTGAAAAACATGCCAGGCACATGTGTACATGCCCAAAATCTCAAAAGGAGAAGGGTGGAGAAGGGACTGTGGTGTATTAATCCCCACTGGAGAGTGATATCTCACTTTCTCCCGTCCCCCACTCCCACCATCGGTAAGCAAAGCATACATGGTCAACAGCAATTTTTTTTAAAGGCATTGTTAGGTTCAATATACAAAATACATCTCAACGATTGTAGTTTGTTAAGATGGAATGAGCTTGGGAACATAGAGAGCTCTCTGTTGCTATAAGGATTCAAATAGGAGCTGGACTATTTGACAAAGGGTTTCTTCCAAGTACACTGACTGGAAAACTTTATGCTCACCTTTAAGACCTCGTTCAAATGCCAGCTCTTTTCTGTATGTCATCTTTGCCAACTTCCTCTCGTCAGGTTAGTTCTAGCTCTCCTGTGCATTGACATTTTATACATGTCTTCACTATAGCACTTATCACACAATAAACATACGTGCTTGCCTTTCCACTAAAAAGGGGTGCTT